AAAAAGTTAGAAAATTGAAAATACATATTAGAGAGAGAAAATTTTATATAGAGTAGAGATGGTGTGGGTGCAAGTGAGGATGCTCTCCCCCATTATCGGGCTCGTGTAAATTTTTAGTCTCCGTCTCCACCTCATTCTTGGGTCCGAGAGATGTTCTCGAGAAAAATTATGGGTTTTATAATTGTTTTTAATTATTTTTATAATTTAAATAAAAAAAGTGTAATAAAAATATATTAATTATTTAAAAAATGGAATCGAGGACGGGTCGGAACATGCGTTTTCTATTTTTGGGACCCAATCCTGTGGAAATCTTTGTCTTCCCCTGATGTAGAAACATGAGATGTAAATAAACTTTTGGAAGATAGATTTTAGAGAGATAAATAAAAATATTTAGAAAAAAAATAGGTTGAGAAAAATTAAAGACAAAAAGAGAAAAATTTTGGAGAAAAAAATAAAGTCGAGAGGAAAAGATATGTTAAAAAAAAAATTATAAAGAAAGAGAAAAGTTTTGGAGAAAAAAATAAAGTCGAGAGGAAAAGATATGTTAAAAAAAAATTATAAAGAAAGAGAAAAATTATAGTGGAAATAAATTTAGAGATAAAAACAATATTCAAAATATAATTTTTATATAAAATAAATAAAAACAAAGATAAATAAAAGTTATAGTGAAAATTGAACGAGAAAATAAAATATAATTTTTAGAAAAAAAATAGATTATTGAGAGACAGAAAAGTTATAAAATATGAGATTTTCAAGATAAAAAAGTTAGAAAAAATATTAATTGTTTAGCGAGAGAAATGAAACTGACTTGTTAGAAAAAAAACAAAAATACAAAAAATGTTGAAGAGAGACAAATAACGATTCAAAATATGAAAATTTTAAAGATAAAAAAAAATACATTTTGTAGAGAGAAATTTAGAAATAAAATAATTAGAGTAAAAAATAAAATTTTTAGAGATAAATACAAGAAAGAAAAAAAAAGTTGAGTATTAGAAGAAGAAATGAGATTTTGAAAAACAAAAACCTATTCTTGAAAACCATTTTTTTTTTTGAAATTTACCTAGAATTTCAAAATGAAAAACAAAAAACAGAAAATTGAATTGGTTATCAAACAATCCTGAGTCTCAAGTTTTTAAGAAAACTGAAAGGTTTTTAGTTGAGAAGAAATAATCTCATTCGTCTCTAGTTTAAGTTACCATGATTTCAAAATATGTCAACAAAATTTAAATCTAAAATTTAATTTTTGTACACCTATGACTTAGAGTGTTAACCTAAATATAAATATAACTCAACTGATTAATTAATACATAATTTTTTCATCAAAAAGTTCGAGATTCGAATAGTCAAGCCCATTGAACAAAATATATATATATATATATATATATATATTATAAGTAGCCTAAGAAAAAATCCAGGATCAATTCCAATATTCATATTGTCTCTTGTGATGAAGTTGAGACTAGTGGGCTGAAAGAAAAAGTTGAGTTTGACAATTTTTATTGAATGATTTTTCTGTTCATCAATTTCATTTTCGTTACAACCCTCAATAATTTTGGATTCGTATAATATTCAATTATTGGAGTTTTTTTTTTACATCAATTATTGGAGTTTAATAATATAAAAATGGGTTTGATCTGATTTGAAATATTCATAACTCATTTTACCTAAATTACTTTCCAAACATTTTTCAAAAGTTATTTTCTTATTTTTAATTTATCTTTTATCTTTTAATTAGAGATAAATGATTTTCATCTCATAAACAAATAATTTTGATTTTATTTTTTCCTCATGGCATATCACTAGAAACATGATTAGAATCAATATTTTAAATGTTGGGTTCTCAATTTTAATGAAAATATCAATAAAAAAAATTCGTAACAAATTTTTAAATTAACAAAATTAAGTCTTGCTCTTTTTAAATAAGTTCAAAATTATTAATATTAACATTATATTTATTAATGATATTTGTTTATATTTTATTAACTTTTTCCCCATATTATAGATATCAATATACTGACAAAAATTTAATAAATAAAGTATACTTTAGAAATAATAAATATAAAATAATTTTCTACAAATAAGAAATAGTCACTTTCATAAATATAATAATTGCATAAAACAATATTGCCTTATCGAAATTAGAGATAAAACCCTATATTTATATAAATAAAAAGGAGTCATATTCAATGGATTGAAAATGTGTCTTATTTGATTTTTAATGAATTTTTTTTTGGACATTATTTTAATGTAATCTCAATTAGCATCTAATTTTCAATTTTACATTTTTGTCAAATCAAACACCTACATGTAGAGAATTAATTGTCACACTATTCATCAAATTTTTTTTCCTTAAATTAATTTAATATAATGTTGTGATCATGTGGCTTAAATATAGCCTCTTGCATGCTCCAATTCAAGGCTTAGATGTTGACCTTACCCTAAAATAAAATCAAAGGAAGCAAAGTGGGCATGCCCCCCTCTTGGACTTTATGATTATTTTATTTTTATTTTGTTAAATTACTCCTTTTGTCCTCTCGTGTATTAGGTCTATTTAGTCTCTAAGCATTAATGTATCTTGATATCACGTTGGATTTTAAATTATGCTTATATTTTAGATAGATTATGTAGACCATTAACTCATAGGGAATTTTCAATCCAATTACCAGTCCCATCATCTCTTAAATTTGATTTATTTCAATTTTTTATTCATTCATTTTTAATTTATCTAATCGATATCTAAATTTGTCAGTTCATCTAAATTTTAAGAAATAAGTGTTGGGTATGAATTTCGTCAATCGATGCTCATGACTAAAAATAAAGATAAGAAATTAAAACTTTCTCAAGTTTAAAATAACATTAATTAATATATAAAAATTATTATTTTTATTAAAATTTATAATTAAACAAATGAATTTAGCTATTTGTTGGGTTTTTTTTCTCCTCTTTAAAATTATCTCAAAGATATATATACAATAAATCCCACATGGAATAATTTAGAACTAAAAAGAAAAAAAGAAGAAGAAGAAGTCCTAACTTTGTTGGGAATTTTCCTTAAGACCTAGCTTTAAGGTCACTTTCTTGGGGAAAAAAAGGATTTTTCTTTTTAAAAAATTGATTTTTATTTGTTTTTAGTATATTTGGGATGTGAAGGATTTAAATTCTAAATCAAACTTTAAAGGATTAGAATTTGTCAAAAAAAAAAAAGAATTTGTCAAAATGACCCTTTTGTACTCAAGAAAAATGTTTAACATAATTTAATGTATTACTAAATAATATAATTCAATTATATACCATCAATTTTGTAGACTCATATAATAGATTTACTTTGGAATCTACGCTAAGTGGATTTGACTTTTAAGATTTCTAAATATATGTTGATAGATTCATTCAAACCTTGTAATTTACAATAAGAATTTCGAGAGCCTCTTCTTACTTTGACTGGTCGTTTGAATTTATATATTAGGTGAAATTGTACGAATCATTTGTAAATTATAGAGATGGTTACCATTACACTTAGAGTTAAATATTTATTGCTTAATAAGTTATAATTAAACTATTCATTATCTTATAATTACAAATGCTATTTATATGCTTAATTTTTGGCTGTCATTGCTGTTTTTAGATCAAATGTACAAAAATGAATTATGGGTTCAACAAAGGCAACAAAATGGACATGTTTTTGGTAAGAAAATGAGAAAGGCAAATCAACCGGATAAAAGGATAGGATCTAACCTTTCCAATTATGTAAGGATAAGTGTATTTTTTTTAAGGAAATTTTTTTTTTCTTAAAACACTTTTTTTATTAGTATAATATATTGGATGAGAAATTGAATTCACAGCCTCTTAATTGGATATATATGTTAATTACTGCTGAACTATGTTATGAACTAGGTTCGTTTAGACTCTTAAAACACTTTTAATAGAAGTACTTTTAGTTAAATATTTTTTTCAAGCGTTTTTAGTCACAAGTTTGTTTGGTTGCCTTAAACACTATGAAACCAATTGAGTGAATGAGGATAATTTTGTAATTTTGAAAAAGCAGCTCACTTGAAATGAATCGATGTTTTTAAAGAATCAACTTTCAAAATTTTCTTTTTTATGGGTTATCTCAAATCAGGGGTACAATTGGAACTATGATACGTTTTGTTAATACAACAAATATGGGGACGAGGGACTGAGCCTCTAACTTTAGGGAAGGAGCAAGATGTCTTAAATGTTAAGTTATGCTAACGTTGACGTGTAAATTACCGATATATATTCCCAATTTGAGTTTTTTTTTCCTACAAAGAAAGTTTCATTTTCTATAATATTAATATTAATAAAATTTAGTGTAAATATTTTGGTTCCGGTATTTTTCTCTTTGGTTCATTAATTTGATCCTTGTGATTTCAATTTTAGTCATTGTACTTGCAAAACTTTTGTTTTGGTACTCCCATCCTTTTAAAAATGGACCAATTTGGTCAATATTTGTAATGAAAACTCTTAATACAATATACTTTAGTGTACTCTTTCTGACTTATAAAGAGAGGACATTTTCTTCCTTTCTTTTCCTTTCCATCTTTCAAGAAACGTGAATAGACAAAAATAGATATTTTAAAAGTACATTAATCAAAATGAAACAAAGTCGAGAATACACGGAACAAAACAATATTTAAACATGACATTTCTATCTTCCTCGACGAAAAACAAAAACATTCCATTATTAATTTTTTGCTTCAACTCATTTCAAACATAGTTGTCTTAATCACACAAATAGTCCATCTAAACATAATTCGACTATTTTTTTTATTGAGTACAACATGTAGAGGTAGGGATCGAACTTACAACATCTTGATTGGAGATATATGTCAGTTACTGTGGAGCTATACTCGCTTTAGTATATAGTTCGACTAGTTAAGACACATTTATTTGATTAAAAAGAAAAGTATTTAAGTAGAATATCCACCTCATGTTATAAATAAAAAGTAATAATAAACCCACAAATTACTGTAATCTCTCTCTCTCTCCATTGCAACTTTTCCACTTCCCTCGGCATTACGCCTAAGAAACGTCCTCCTCCTTTTTTCCTCCCACTTCTCTCTCTCTCTCTCTAAAACTCCATTTTCTTCCTTGTTTCATTCTCGGTCCCCCATGATCACACTGCCTTCAACTTGATCCAGAGATACCCAGAAGCTAATCAATGGGTTCCTGCGTTTCAATCCATAGAAATTCCGATTCCCCCATGAAGCTCACTCTCTCCAACACCGACCAGATTCTAATCCCCCCCTCGCCGATCAAAGACAACAACAACAACGCCGCCGTTTTCGTCACGCCCCCTCCTGAACGCCACTGTAAGCCCCTTCTTCTTCACTTTCAGAAGCTTAATCCACTTCTAGTTCTGTGTTTTAGCTTTTAGTTGAGTGATGAACTATCAACACTTTTAATTTTACTTTTGATTTTGATTTTTATGTCTATTGTATTCTGCTTTACAATCAGTGCTTGCAAAGTCGTGTGCGATCTAAAGTGTTTGCTTATTGCGTGTCCCTGATTTGACTTTCTTTGCTTTCACATCCAAGTTGGCTTTCTTTTCTTTTTCTAATCGAATATCTTATAGAATCATTGCCTTTTTGAAAGTTTGTTTAATTGGAATAATAAAGTTAATCTAGGTCCCATTTTTGTATATTTTAAACTAAGAAATCGATTGTTTTTTCATATACAAATCTGCAAAAATATCTGATAATTCAAATTAGAGAAATCCAGGCTCAAGTTTGAGCACCTCTTGGAACTTTTCTGTTTGCAGAGATGGAGAAACCTTTGTTCAGTAGAGATGACCAGGTTGATTTAGAACTCAGAAATCCTGTTTCCAGCAAACTTAAAAAACTCATGTATTGTCCAGTGGATTGTGGTTAATTATCATAGATTCATATAGAAGAAAAAGAAAAATAATATCCCACAGTGCTCTGCTACTTCAGTTTACTAACTTCTGCTGTGAGGATGGGTATAGCTATGTAGCGATCACTTTTTGGTTGATCCTATAATTCCTCTTTTCTTATTTCTTTTTTCATTTCTTTTTTCCATAACGGATTTGTTCCTTCGGTAAGTATTTCTTATGATTTGTTGAATATTGGCATTGGATTTTATGTGTGTGCCAGTATCATGAGTTTCTCTCTTCATCTCACATGAAGCATGCCAGTGTTCATGGAAAGTGAGTGTTGGATAGCATACAAGTTAGGAACCCTTTATCGAAAAAAACTTATAGTTATTCTTCTTCGTCATTTTATATTGGTTTAAATATTATTTTTGTTTCTGTACTTTTGGCTTTGGTTTATTTTGGTCCTTTTACTTTCAAAACGCGCATTTGGTTTCTATAAATTTGTACTAATAAAATGTAGCCATAGATTTGTATTGAAGTGAACAAACATTAAAAGTACAAGGACCAAAATAGATGTGTTCAAAGTAAAGGGACCAAAGCGGAAAGTACAGGGATTAAAATATATTTATACCTTTTATATTCATTGTTTTGGGCCCTGTCCTACTATCTGTAGGGAGACATCGTGCACCCCAAGGTTCGAACCAAAGACCTTTGTAACTTCTGCCTAGACATTCGAAGCCCTTACCACTGAGGCCAGACTGCCAGTTTACCATAGGTTCAGTTTGGTCTCGCCTATTCGCTTTTGAGGGTAATGGGGTTTGCCCCTTTTGAGGAACTACTAGAAAAAGGAGAAGAGGGTGAAAGTGAGAGTTTTATTCCTAGGAAGTGCAGAGCAGAAGCATGTTCTGTTTAAGACTTCTTTCACAAGAATGCTATAATTCTGTTCCATTGAGAACATCACACACTTTTTCACTCACTCCTTTCTATCCATGGAGTTTCAGATTCTTGCTGTTATGATGTGGTGATCCGAATCCATTATGACCAAACTCGAAAAGTTTTTAGTGTGTTATTTTGAGATTGTGGCCTTCGTAGGCCGCCATGGAACTCCCCCACTTACGTGTCCATGACTTTCTTGACATTCCTTATGTTTCATCATGTATCTTGACCTTTTTCATAACAACTCTGAAATAGCTAGTTTATGAAAGAAGCAAGTTGAAAATTGAGCTCTTTTTGTAGATAGCAAAGATGAAGCGTTTTTTGATTCCCGGGCCTGGTTGGATTCTGATTGTGAAGATGATTTCTACAGTGTCAATGGTGGTAAGTAGACATATGAATTCTTTTATGCTATTTGATTTTTCATCTCTCTCCTGAAGTATTCAATGACAATGGATTTGGCTTCCTTCCATTTATATATCCTCAGATTTCACCCCTTCACGAGGAAACACTCCAGTACGAGGAAACACTCCGGTACATCACAAATTCTCCTCCGGTACTCCTCGGGTGAATCAAGTTCATTTCATTGATGATCAAACTCCAGCCACCATGCCTGAACCATCCCCAACAGGAAAGAAGAAGCTGGCTGAACTGTTTAGGGAGGGCTCAAGAAATGGCACTGACATACAACCCAAACCAACTCTAAACGAACTCGCTCTGCAGTCGAATCCTGAAACACCTTACATGTCAGGAACAACCTCTCTATGCGGCAGCGAAAGGACCCCGAATGAAGATGTCTGGATGGAGAAGGAGAAGCCATTTGGGTCTGTACAGTGCTGCCTTCCAAGCTTGCGATCGTGCCATAGCTTCAGCGACCGGAGGAAGAAGACAAGTCCTGCCATAGCTGTATAAAATTTGATCAAACATGCCCTCGGATTCAGCCACTGCGAGACCATATCTTATGGAGCTCACAATAGTTGAAAAAATGTGTAAAGTTCTGAAATATCAGATGCAGAAGCAGCAGCAGTGATCAAGAGATATTGCTGTTGTTGAAAGCAACGTCTTCCTTTTCATTTTCTCTTTTCTATATATATCTTACTTCATTGTCTCGTATAAGAATGTAAGGAAACAAAGAGGAGAAAGGGAAGAGAGAAAAGAAAGTAATATATAAGACTTATAGTTCTTACTTTGAGAATTATAATAAACAGCAAAGTTTTATACATCTATCACTACAAGAATTTTGTACTTTCTTGACGTTCTTTTCCCCGACGATAAAATAGTCGGGTAAAATCATATTTCCCGACTAAATTATAATCGTCGGAGAAACTCCCAAAGGTTTTACAATACCATCGGGACTACTTGCTTTTTACTCAACTCTTAAACAAAAACCTTCGATCTATAGATCCTCTCTTGACTGTGTTCTGAACCCATCGAGCGAACTCAATTTGCCGACTTATAGTATAAAGAATTCGTCTGGTATCAATAGAGATGTCATGATTTTCATTTTATGGAAATGTTGACAGAAGTATCAATAAAATGTTGACGTGAATGGATATTTCTAGAAAAACTATAGGGAAAAATGTTCATAATAAATATTTAAAATAACAATAAATATTTTACTCTTTTTAAATAAGTTAAAGTTTATCGATATTAATATTATGTTCATGTATTAGTATATTTTGTTTATATATATATTTTATTTATATTTTGTCAAAATTTTTGTGATGCTATAGGAATAACAATTTATTCCAAGTGTGTTGAATCTATAAAATATGTAAAAATATAGACATGTCCATGAAAATTGAATACCATATAAAGAGGCTTTTTTTTTTTTTATAAAAGGAAAATTGATCTTTATAGTATTAGCAATTTTCTTTAATTGGATTGGTTGAATTTTAAAATGTGAAGTATTCAACCTTCTTTTCTCCAAAATTTATCATGTATATCTTGAAGCATTCAAAATTAACCTTTGCTTTACTTCATCATATTTGTTTCAATTTAATCTTTATTGTTTTTAAAATTTTAATTTAGTTCTTATGGTTTGAGTTTAGTTTCAGTTTGATTCTTATGATTTTAAAAGTTTCAATTTGGCCCCTACAACTTATTTATACTTCACAAATCATCAGTGTCGTTGTCATATTAAATAGGACAATGACTAAATGAGTTAAACAGTTAGTATTCTTTTTTTCAGCTATATTTAAGTTTAGAACTAGGTAAAGAAAACAGAAGATGTGAATTTTCCAATGAGTTGATGTATGAGATTAAAGCAAATCACATGAACTAAATCGAGACTTTTAGAACCGTAAAAACAAAGCTCAAACTAAATTCAAATTATAAAAGCTAAACTCAAAATTTTCAAATTATAGGGACAAAATTTAAGTTAAGTATAAACGGGGGCTGATATRCATTGGGCCTGGGGGCACGAGCCCCCGAACTTTTTAATACTATAGAATGAGTACATAGTATGCATACTTCTTGTCCAATGGTTACTGCATGCGCTAGCCCCAGTTTGAGCCATCGTACTTGCGTTTTTTCCTTTTTTTTTTTAGTTTCATCTTTTTTTACCACTGGTTGGCGCCAGCCTCCCTCACCTACCCCCCGTGTCCGTGTTCGAATCATCGCCTCTGAGTTTTTTTTAATTCGTATTTTTTTAATTTCTTTTCATGTAATTCGTATTTGTCCCACCTCATTACCTCTTCGTGCCTGTGTTCAAGCTTGTACTTCCGTATTTTTTTTTAAAACATAATTTCTATTTTTTATTTTTTCATAATTCGTGAATTTTTTCTATTTTTTTTTCACGAGTGTTACAAAAGGAAAATTTTTCATTAATTTTTTAAAAATGAATAAAAAATGAGAAATTACAAATTTTATATCAATTTAAAAAAAAGAAAAAGAAAAAGAAAAGAATATATAAGTTGGTGGAATGTTTAATTATTGCGGGCAAAATTCTAAGGTTTTGTTTTTTTTATTTATACGTCGCCATGACATATAATTCTATAAATTTAGTACTGATATCTTTTTTTCTTCTTTAAATCATCATTTTCTATATTCAATTGTTCTTATTTTATATAAATTTTAATTTTAATTTTAATTTTATAGAATATAAAAAAGTCAACAATTTAGAGATTAATTGTTTAAAGTATATTTTTACTAACTTCACATTTTATATACGATTTGAGGTTATTTTAAACATAATACTTAGTGAAATCTTGAAATCTAAACTTTACCTTTTATATACTATGAATTTTACTATTTGGAGATTAATTATTATTTATGTTTTAAGTTTTAATTTTAATTTTATTAATGTTATTGTAGATTTAATTTGAAATCTAAATAGTGATAGATATTTTACATAAGTAAATTTGTAAAAAAAAATACCGACATATCTTAGTCTAAGAGCTAGAATTGTTGATTACAATTGTAATATTCGAGACTAAGTTCATAGAGCATATTTTCCAAAAGGATCTTGCTAGCTTCAGAACTACTTTTATGAATCTTTGAATTACTTTATCGTAGATTAGTATGAAGTGCCCCACCAAAATTTTTGGATTGGTCACAACCATCTAGAGACGAATTTTGTAATTTAACTTTGAAAAAAATAAAACTATTAAAAACAATTGGGCTTTTAAATTCACGGTCCAAGTCCAAACACCCACATTGGATTGGACAAAGTAATCTTAAAATTTTAGATTATTTGCCACATAAGTGATAGTATCACTTAACTATTTTGGTTTAGGTACTCTAGGCGTTTGTTCATTTTTTAAATATCTATTTGAGTGGTATTTTCAAAACGTCTGTTTTGGTCCATTAATTTTTATTTTTATATATTTCTTTCGATCATAATTTTAGTATGATACTTTACCCACTGATATTTCTGGAAATGTAGTCTTAGATTTGTATTAAATTGTTTCCATTTCATACAAAATTTTTGTTATAGATTTTGCAAATATGAACAAATTTTAGTCCTCTTTTAAAAGTGAGAAGTAATGTGAACCAAAATGAATGTTTTGAAAATACTTAAGTTAAAATAAACCAAAAGTAAATATAGAGGGATTAAAATAGTATTTCAACCATAATTTTATACCTCTGTACTCGCCATGATTTGACAAATAATGGAATGTAGTGTGAAATTTTATTACTAGAAAATTTCTCGAATTTCTCAATGTATTAACATGCCTTTTCTTTTAATTATTGAATTCAACCACTACTGTTCAGTGGGAGATTGAACCATCAACCTAAGTAATAATATGTATTTTGCTGTCTATTTGGTATGCAATCTAGAACGATTTTCAGATGGTGGATCCAAAGCTATGCATTTGGTACGAATTTGAAAATCAATCCAAGCCAAATTTACGCACATCGACATATTAGCCATTAAACTAATATACTACTTAAATAGAGGAATATTTTCGTTTATGTGTGATCAATGAAACAAATGACTCCCATGAGATCAAATTATGAAATTTAGAAATCAAAATCAATAAGATTTAAATTCCATTTTGGTTTGTAAAGTTGCATGCAAATTCCGATTTTAGGTCATGTTTACTTCCAAGGAATTGGAATCAAGGAAGGAGAATGGATTTTTCCATTTTTGATGATGTTTATCAAGTCGTTGGAATCAAATCAAATCAAATTGTGGGATCCACTTCAAATTTGGGAATCTCAAGAAGATCTCATTCCTCTTCTACACCCAAATCAATCTTTCACATTTCTTATTCCATGGACTCCACACATTTATTAGAGTTACTCTGCTACTTTTATCCTTTTTCTCTCTTTATTAACTAGACCCATAATTTTATTAACTATTTATTTTCATTTCTACTATTAATGTTTTTTCTTCTAATAAAAATTTATACAACTTTTATTGATAGGTATGATTTTATTATAAAATATTATAAATTTATATTTAATTTAATTTTTTACTATAAATCATACAGTAACAAAATAAATTAAAATTTATTGTTATTGTAATTAAAAAACAATTAGCACAATAATGTATTTATAATTAACTAGAAAGAAGAAATGACTATACTAGTAATTGTTATATATATCTGATTCCGATTCGGATTCCAAACAATTGTAGTAAACAACATCAAAGAAATTCTGATTCCAATTTCAGAAAATTTCTGGTAAACAACAATGTTGGAGGTGAATTATCAACTTACACGTGGCGTGCAACGGTTGGTTGTTCAGCAACACACGTGTCGCCCCCTTGCTAATGTACATCTCCCTCGGTCACGAGTCTTAGCCAACCCTCTTCGACGGCCAAGCCGACCAAATAAGTTACTTGGATCACTTCGGCTCAGCCTAATCTCCGACAGACTCCGCAACATCACGCCGCACCTCACGACAACCTTAAAGAGCCGTTGAGGCCTTGTCGAGAATGTTGTCGGGGACTTCACCTATAAATAGGACCATTGCGCTCCATTTGAGGTATGCGAACAACCCAGTTCTCTCTCTCGAGTTGATTTGGATATTTGCCGACTTTAGCATCGGAGTGCTTACTCTGTTTTGCAGGTCTTCTGCACGGCATTCGGAGCTCTCTATTCAGCTCATCCTAGTCGATCAGACATTTGTGAGGTTGGTCATTTTTTTGATCAAACAAACATAAAAAGAATAACATCACTATTCCGATTGATTTCATTCTGATTGATTATTATTCTGATTCATTCTCATTCGAATTCCAGGTGAGTAAACATGACCTTAGGCCCGTTTACTTACTCGCAATAGTAATCAAAATTTTCATTACCTTTAATTATGTTTAACAAAATAAATGAATGGGAATAAAATGTGGGACCCACTCCGAATTTTGGAATCACCCCAAAAAAAGTGCAATCCCATTACACGCAAAATAATTGTACAATCCAATTTCAATTTCTTAATATGTGAGATCCACCATAAATTTTTTGATAATTTGACGAGCAATGCCCTATACACTCACATTTTTCTACTTTCTTTTAGGGTTATCTTTTTGCTCCATTGTCGCTTTTCCTCTTCTCATTTGCCTGTTTTGTCACATTCTCCTCAATGATCCGTTTGTTAACTTTGAAGTCTCCTACATCACCGCTTCTTATGTCAAATTTTAATCTCTATTACATACCAATCTCTCACTTTTTTTTTAACCAAGCATTGTGTGACTTACAAATTCATCTATGTTGGTTTCTACCTTTTGGTGCTTTATTTTTTGTTGTTAAATGAGATCTTTTTAATATAAGTACTTTTTCTT